ATATTTTCTCCGGAATACAAAAAAGGGCCGAATCTATATATGGCTTCAGTTTCGCATGGCGATGGTTATGACACGTGTAGTCTGGTATGTGTCTATCGCCGTTTCTGAGTACCAAACTCTCTCCATCTTCAGGAGATGTCCTCCCGAAATTGTGATAACCATCTACCAGACTACACGGCGCCGTTACTTAACTTCAATGTAAGATCAACTGATTCTGACATTCAAGTTGTATATAGCTAGTGTCTCGACTCATTCTGTGCTCAGCAAGGCTGTACGGCGGCATATCGACACACACTGATGGCATATCCCCTCACAGCACGAAACAAATTCAGACAAAAGTTGCACCACTGTACAGGATTTAATACACTGTTTTCTCACGCCTTTAGCATTTCGCTCTGAACACAGGCAAACAAGCCGCGCTACAACGACATATCACAATTGCCCTGTTTCGAGCTCAATCTGACTTTGAAATGAAATCCAAAGATGCAAATTACGTGCCTCTTCTCACTGCTAAGTAATGCAAACCCGTAAGCCAGGCAAATGACATGCACTGTTTTTCATACCCACGTTAATTTGCTACAACTGAATCTTAAACCGGGTCAATTTAATGTTTAAAGGGTCTTGGAGTAAGCCTGTACCCGGTCTCCTAAGGCCCCTATTCCAGCTGTTGCCAACCCCAAGCGCCCACAGGATATCCGAATATGGTTACACAGTTGTGAATCTGGCGACTAGACTATGGGCTGAACGGCCGAGAAATAGGGGTTCGATTCCCGGCAAGGGCAAGACAATTTTATTTCTCCACAGCGTTCAGACCGGCTCTGAAGTCCAGCCAGCATCCTATCCAATAGGTACTGGCGACTCTTCTCCAGGGATTAATGTGGCCGGTGCTTGAAGCTGAACACACCACCATATAGTGCTGAGGTTAGAAATTTTCATAGCGCGGTGCTTAACCCTTTAAAGACTGAATTTCTTCTAAATAATATACAACCTCACAGTACGTCTCCGCTAGAAGGCCCAACCGGTTAATGCCGTTTATTGTGAGAACCACACAAAATACATAAGAACATACTCCGTAGGCAGAACGCGAAGTTCAAGTATGTTAAAGCAAGTGGTACACATAGTAACCACAGGTCTTCACCTGTCCCCCCCTTCTACTCAAGAACCATAGGTCAATTGCGCCAAAGCGTCCAGGTTATTCCGGACTTGGTGGGCCACCGTTCCAAAATTCGGTATGCAGAGTTTAAAATGAAACGACAAGTTCCCACATATCATTATCATAGTCGTAATTATTACGCTGTCAGGTTCGGAACGTCACAGCTGAGAGCACGCACAACCAACCTGAACACTGTAGGCGGGACGTCACAGTCCACAGACCCGACTTCCCTCAGCCGGAGCCCTCACACTTTCACTCCTGCGGTCACAGCGCAGGCGCATCCACTCAGCCATAACGCTGTGATGTATTCACAGCTGAATTACGTGGGATGAATTGCTCCAGTTTACATACTTTGCTACGGAAGTCTGACAAGCTGAGTCAACAAATTCGTTGCTAGTAACTCGAACCGTGAAACACTCAGGACATTGAGTTTACACTTGCAGTACATGAACCCACATAACTAACACACTTACAGTAATGCTGTATACGTTCTACATTAATAATCTATTTTATTATGAACCATATTATAGAGACAGGAAGTTGCGTCTAACGTAAGAATACTTGCTGATACGAGGCTTAAGGCATATAAACGGTGATGCAACGTGCAAGTGTCGTGTCGTGGAGAAGGCTAAGGAACAGAGCCCACTCGTCGGATCCAGCATGTGACATGACATCACTGACCAGCAAGCACCCTGGATCATGTTCTGGGACTTGAGGGCTGACCTCAGGATTTTATCTCAGCTACTCCGCATCGATACTCTGTCTCTGTGACAGTTCACTCTGTACAATCTGATAAATATTGTAGCATACGAATATGCTCAAGACAAGAAATGTGAAGCCAGAAAAAAAGTCGTTGCTAGCGAACGTCTCTGAAATAACATCCGTTTCTAGACAACGGCCACGAAACAAACAACGGAATAACGTCCGCTGCTAGGCAGCAGATTCTTAATACGCAAATATACCAGAGCCGTTGCTGAGTAACGAACTGTTCCCATAAAACAACTGAACAGCAAAAGAGGAACTGTGTTTTCTGTGCGGTCCAAGCCGAGATGTTATAACCGAGACACGTTTAGAAGTCAGTCATTTCACCCGTGTGGAGGCGGGGTCGAATACCTCCAACGTGACCCTGCGAGTCGTAGGAGGCGACGAAAAGGGAAGTCTCAAATCTGAGAAAGTAAAATATGGTGGCGAGTCACAAGGGACTCGGACACGAGAAAAACTGCGCTGGCAAGGCCAGCAGCTTATATAAAAGACAGACCAGTCCTCTCGTCAGAGAGGGCGCCCCTCAAAAACAATACCGTAAATGTCAAACAGTAATAAATATCTCGACACCAAGACTTACTGACTGACTGACCGTCAGTCGCAATGTGACTTGGACTTGGAAGTCAGTCATTTGTTGGATAATAGCCAGCCAGTAAGGACTTTAGCAGTGGACATTGTTAAGATCAGTTGCCAGGAATCGACCAGTGAACGTAAACCAATAAGACTCAGAGTGCGTTCTAGTGATTTGTAAAGTGTGGAAATAAGCTATAATTACTTGTAGTTACGACCTGTAAGTGGTCAATCAATCCAATATCCAATCCACAACCCTGTCGAGAGTCACTGATACACGTGACAATATATACAGTATATGCGAGTTTCAGTCTATTTCTTAAGTGGTCAGCGAACTCCGTGAATCAGACTTCCGCTCTGCATTATCTGTAGCTTCCCACTACCAACCCTAGGGATATAACAAAATGAATGTCTGAATTTAGGGAACGATTTTCCACCTAGGTTACTGTTATTATTCAGCAATCAGCATTACTTCCTGAACTTGTTATCTGGATTCCTTCAGCAGACAATAAGAATGTAGAATGCGCCTCTCATTGCCAAACATGTCACAGACATGTTCTACTCTTCGTATGGGCGGGGCTGCTCTCAAATGTAACACGCCACTTGTTGGGCCCGTGCGCAAAACTATGGAAGGCTTGCGCTTCAAGCGTCCGCCCGTCCGTCCGTGCCGACCAATTTCGGTTAAAATCTGACACAAATAGGACTCCACATGAACACTTGCTACACGCTTGGGGGGGGGGCATATTCTAGCATAAAATGTTGAATGTTTGGGGCAACAGTGAATAATAGACTCGAAATTATGTTGAAGGAAGCGGGCGTGGCCCAGCTTGAAGCACAGGCATTTTCCTGTAGGTAAAGCCATCCACAATCTCAGTCAGTGTCCTGGACGAGACTGGAATCTGGAACCTGCCATACAGAAGAATGAAGCGTTTCCGCCTGAGCCAGCGTACTCGGTGTGTACCAGTGGCAACATGCACTTGGTCGGAGCGTTTACGCTTGAGCCAGCGTACTTGATGTGTACCAGTGGCAACATANACCAGTGGCAACATGCACTTGGCCGGAGCGTTTCCGCTTGAGGCAGTGTACTCGGTGTGTACCAGTGGCAACATGCACTTGGCCGGAGCGTTTCCGCTTGAGGCAGTGTACTCGGTGTGTACCAGTGGCAACATGCACTTGCTTCCACTGATACTGATGAAGCTGAATGGTAGTTAGGGCACGAATGGTACTGTAGTTAGGGCACAAGTGACTTATGTTCCTGAGTGAGAATTAACATCAGCAGCATGGAACAGGTTAATGTACATCTGTTATGCAGAGTGTGTCTCATGATTATTCTTGCGATCAGTTCTATAGAAAAAGGGCTGCCGACTACCAGCGGCACTGACTCCTCACATTTCGATTTGCCCGAAATTAATATAACAAGACTAATGATGTCACGTGTATAAGTGTGACAATAGAGAGGGTTTGGAATGATAATTGCATTTCTTCAACACTTACAGATCGTAACTAGGCTATCGCTAATTCACACACTCTGCTGTTCACTACAGCACACACTTAAGTCTTCTCAGTCTGCTATGTTTTCACCAGTGGACGTTCCCTTGCTCCCGGGCTCACGTCCTCGCAGGCTGGTGACCATCTCACACTAACTTCCTATTCTTCTAACTGAAGTCTCAAGACCCCCATAATGGCAGCTTCTTCTCGTTACATTGCCTCGGCACATAAAACACCGCACCTCACTGTTTTAGTTCAACTGTTACCATGGGACCGTGTTTGTTTGTGATTCCGTTACTCTGTAACGACAGTTATTTATGTCCTTGTCTCGCGGTCGTTGACAAGCAACGGGTCTGCGTGCCACAATAACAACAAAAACAACTTACTATCACGTCCCTTACGTCCCTGATCTGTGAGCGCTCAGAGGTTTACTCGGCTTAGATGTTCAGTCCACGACGGGTAAGTGTCCACCCAGCGCTCGAGAGGGATCACACCGGCAGGGCCTACTAATTCACAACCCCTTCCATGCCTCCCCCCTCCCTCTCAACTGCTATACAGTAAACCTAACTGAGCGTACAGCCTGCCATGCCACAGAAATTCCAAGCTCGACCCCCAGAGCATTCCCACAGTGCCTCAAATTGCAGGACGGAATGGTGAAACATTTGCGCTGTTAGCGCAGACTGAAGTCGATACGTTCAGGTCTGATGACGGCCTCAGGCAATGTGTGTTAATCTTCCACATAACGACAATTCGTGCACATCTTAGTGACATGGGATAAGGATATAATGGCAGAAGCTGAGTCCTAATTCAGACTCACATCATATTGGTTCACTCAGGGCTGCTAATCAGTTTCAGAACTCAGCAAGAATCAAACGATGTTTACCGATCCTGATCAGGAATGCACGGCCAAGTGCCTCATTGACTGAAATTAAATTCCCTTAACCTGCACTAAAGAGAGAAACTTCCCCCAGTTCAACAGATTTATTTCGTGCAGTACGTAGAACGCATGCGCTATCACAGGACTTACCGTGCAGCTGGGCCAGCGACTGGAGGGCATTCGCGTTGCAGTTGATGAATCCTGAAAGAGACAAGATCCCCATTACAACATGCTACAATGTTTCTAAAACTAATATGGTACCTTCAAGGATTACAAAGCAACTGTTCCAACTGGAGCAACGCTTCATATTGTATTATAATGCCATGCGTTAAACAATAAAAATTCAGAAGTAATGAGACGGGCACCATGGTAATACCGAAAATCGGTCACAGTGTTTTTCTGGGGCGGACGCATGCGCATCATGTTGACAGCAGCGTTACCTGATGTCATAGTGGGGTTCTGGCCATTAATTGACAGACGAACGTCTGATAGTACGTATTTTATGGCGTATTGAATCCCCCTCTCTCTAAATAATACTGTGGCGTATTGCGCTATGGAGGACATCCCCTCCCCCTCCATCGGTGACGTAACAACATCGAGCGCTGTCGCTGCTACGGTAACAGGCCAGTCAACACTGCGCCCCCTCCACCGCGGTGACGTAACAGGCGACAACACCTGTAAACACGGCGACTAAGCAACAGGGAAACGAGGCGTTTTCCGTTGTCTGGCTGAGGGTTTATAAGAGGACTGCACTGCCTACACCCGTGTGGAGGCGGTATCGAATACCTCCACAGTGACCCTGCGAGTCGTAGGAGGCGACGAAAAGGGAAGTCTCAAATCTGAGACAGTAAAATATGGTTGCGAGTCCAAAGGGACCAGGACCCGAGAAAGAATGCGCTGGCAAGGGCCAGCAGCATATACAAAAGACAGACCCGTCTTCTCGTCAGAGAGGGCGCCCCACAGAAAAAAGACCGTGTCAAATGGTAATAATTAATATCTCGTCATGAGCCCCAGATGGGGCTCGATATCAAGACTTACTAACTGACCGTCAGTCGCAATGTGACTTTGACTTAAAGAGTCAGTTAAAATGTAGCACCCGCCGAAGACAGTTGAAATATAGCAGCAGTCGCGGAAAGAAGAACCGAACGCGTGGTTGGAAGATTTATTGTGATAACTGAAAAGGTGTTGGGAGTGTGTAATTCACAGAGACTTGTATAGCTCCCGCGTTATAAATACGCGAAGACTATTGAGGATAGAGTGAACAGAATAGTGTGTAAGGTTTGTAAATTTTGTAAATCCGCAACAGTGTTATAATTAATTGTAGCTACGACTTGTAGGTTGTTAAATAAACCAATTAACAATCCGAACGGCGTCTTCAGAGACAAAACACGTTACAATACTGTGACGTGTATACCCATTGTCAAGTAACAGATGTGTAACCAGGATACAGTACAACAGCCGTTGCTAGGGAAAAGCTCTGTGGACACATTTCCCCGGCAACGGGAGAACATACAATATGAAAGAGACGTTTTATGTGCGGTCCGTGCCGCGGCTATATAACGAGGACCAGTAGTTCATTGTTGGGTGAATTGAGTAGGAGAGGAGTATCATCCGTGTGGCGGCGGGGTCGAATACCTCCACCGTGACCCTGCGAGTCGTAGGAGGCGACGAAAAGGAAAGTCTCAAATCTGAGACAGTAAAATATTGTCGCGAGTACCAAGGGATTCGGACCCGAGAAAGACTGCGCTGGCAAGGGCCAGCAGCATGTATAGAAGACATACCCATCCTCTCGTCAGAGAAGGCGCCCACAAAAAACAAAACCGTAACTGTAAAACTGTAATAAATATCTGGTCATGAGCCCCAGGAGGGTGCTCGACACCAAGGCTTACTGACTGACTGGCCGTCAGTCGCAATGTGACTTTGACTTTGAATTGTTGGGTGTGGGAGAGAGGCTGTCCCTCAAACCACCTTTCAGTCAAAAGCTGCAAACAAAATATAACAGACTCGCGTTGGAAAGATTACGGCATTTAAGTGTGCTGCCTCTAACGTCGCAGTATTTCTGACTGACAAAATTATAACCTGCTGCTGTACCCAGGGGTGCCAACTGAGCCATACCGGAACTAATGGTGATGAAGAAAGAATATTAATTATTTTCAAAGCAGTATCAGACGGACGAGAATAGCAGCACGTATGGGAAACACGAGAAATGCATAGAAAATTCTAGTCGAAACGCCAAGGTGTGGACGAGAAGATGTTATTAAAATGAATCTCAAAGGAAACGAGGATATAGTTCATTTGGTTAAGGAAGTGGAACAGTGCGGGCTCCTGACAAACGAGCTAATGGGACTTCGGGTTTCACGAGAGGCCAGCAGTTTCTTGAAAAGTTCCACAAAAGACTGCTCCGTGAATTTCGTTAACAGAGGAATCTGGAGTGAAATACAGGTTAGTTGCACGTCTGGGAGCGAAGTTACGGGAACTCAGTCTTCGCACTACTACGAGTACTTAGTAACCGGATGTCAGTCTCGAAACATGATCGTTTGCTTTCTGTCTTCCATCCCTCTCAACATGAACTGAATCACTACTGAATTCAGCATAATGAGAAAGCTATCATGCCAAGTTTATGGTTGACCACGACATAAACCGAGTATCACATGATGGAATCCTTCACGTCAGTCTCTAGAGAGCTTACTTCTTACTTTGTAAATCCTCAAGGCCGTGCCATAGCTCAGACGGTTAGTCGCCGGCTGGATTTCCACCGCGGCGGTCCGGATTCGAGCCGAAGTCAGGTCATGTGGTATTTGTGACGGACATAGTAGAACTGCGGCAGGTTTTCTCCGAGTACTTCCGTTTCCTCTGCCAATTCTCATTCCACCGACTGCTTCACATTCATCATCATCTATCGTCCGGGGCTGGTATAATAGGCCAATTAGTGGCCGACGTACCAAGTGAACTCAGTCTCGCCCCACCCCAAGAGACAAAAAAAAAAAACTAGTACAGTCTCTGGAGGTCCGCGGCCTGGAGCTTCCACACCCTTTCGGCCACTGCCTGCTGCACATTGGTCGCCAAGCATAATGCAATTATTTGACAATAAACAACGTTGCGATTTATTGATCACATGTGCAGAACTTGTGTTTCTGCGTCAGGCACTGAGTGAACTCGACGACCGGTGTCGGGATATCACGAAACGTCGCTCTGCTTGCTAAGTGCAACGGCAGAGTGAGCATGAGAGAGGCGGTGAAGTCCGAGTTATTGTTACTGCTTGAAGATGCGCTCAGCTGTGTCCACCAGCTATTCTCACAGCGATCTGCATGAAGGTCGCGACAATGGAGGTTACCTCAGCGCTATGTTTCGTAAGTTCCAACCTTCAGCTATTTCAAAATGGCGGTTGTGCAACACGAGACGTGGGAGTGATATTAGCACCGTTTATTATACACTTCTCAAAAGCAGCAGCTCCCGACTTCTTTACGCAGCAACTTGTGATACAGCAGAGTATGACTACACAGCACCGCGGTTTGGGAGAGCACATCACTGAGGATGGCAAACCCATGACAGGAGAATCTGGAGAAAGATGGCTACACGGCGACCGCGAGATACATAAGCTCGTGATAGAAGTACACTTCACACGTAACTCTTGTAGCCTTCAAGTTGCGTCAGTCGACATTTCTAACTTCAAAATCCCAATCTGGGTCTTGAGGACTGTGTACCCAACACGCTAAAGCTCAAGAGCTTGTCGTCATGAAACTGTACCGGGTCTGAAACCAATACCTCTCAGAACATGATGTTACTTAAAAACAAAGGCAACTGGGGGTAAAAGAGGGAGAGCACAAGCAGGAATCAGTTCCACGCTCGATTCGTTTCAGTCAGCAGATAATATGTCGTCGCAAGAACTTGGCACGAACTGCCTGGGTCCCGTGGTTGTATGAACATCACCCAATCGCCTGCTCTTCTCTTCGTCCCAATGATTCGTGTTCCAGAGCCCAGCCGGAGGGTTTCAGCTACCCAGTTTCCTCATAATATCTGGAATATTACAGCCATGCAATACCCACAAATTCCATCTGTTCTCATTCAGCCTTTCGGCATTCACTTCTGGTTTTTTCGCGGCCTATTGAACATACTTCAAAGTACGTTTTGCTACTTAAGTCTTCGTTAATAACGACGTGTGCTTGCCGAAATGTCTCCTAATAATGTCATTTACTTTCTTATAAGACTGTACTACTATCTCCATATCCGTTCTGAAGTGTGAAATAAAATATGTAATATGCCGTGGAAGTCCATAGGGCTGTGAGCCGTCGAGGCTCCCTTCTAGACCATCGGCTCATAGATGGCGGTGGGGTTGTCAGCTTACGCTGCGGCCGCGCTATACCACTAGTTAGATTCCCGGTACTCATTTCTGTTACAGGCTTAAGTCGACCCCAGGGCCATAGTGAGCCTGGAAAGAATAGGTCGAATGGATCGAACCAGTGACCCTCCGGCTTGTAGCTTAGTGGTTAAACAAACTACGCTACCGCGTGCTCCGTTGTGTGAGATAAGGTATTCTTAGTGGTATTGTTTAATATAATTTCAATGTGTTGACATTATGCATGTTCCATTAACTTAGTTGTGGTGGTACAGACTTTTATACAAATTTCGTCACATTTCTTATTTCGTTGTATAAAATCGAAATTTCCACCACGAAATTAGGAAAGTGTTCAGCTATTAGTTTTAAAGGTTCTTCATAGATTGCTCTTGTCATTTCGTAAGACGTTTATAGAGTCATGTCAGGAAACTGAGTACATTAGCCTCGCACACCATACTTTTCCACTGGGGTGCCATAATCTGTGCTCGTGTACCTTCCTCTGACTGATGCAAACACAAGGCCCAACAGGCAATTAATCTGAACTGCACACAGTGCTGCTCAAACGAGCAAGTGATGTACCGCGAATTATACGCATGTTTAATCGTTTAAATTTCGATTCATTGGTCTCTAAGTATGCGAGTATGTCACGGAGCCTGGGATTCTGCTTTGAGGTTTGAAGCCAGATATCTCAGCACAAGGCAATTCTGCCACCAAAAGTCAGGTCCAGAGGGGTCCAGAAAGCTGGAGCAGATCCTGAGGCTGATGGCTTCCAGATGTGGACATGCATTAGTTATGATGACGTGACTTTCATTAGTTTTAACCAATAGGAATGCCTACATTCGATGTACGGGTGAGGCACTCTGTT